CTGAACACAGACCGCACCCGTTTTAAATGACTCTTACAGGAAATTTTTAGGTTGTCCTATTTATTGTTTAATTTATTTCTTTTGTATTTTTGCTTTTACCGTAGCTTCTTCTCTGTCCCATGCTCTTAATATGTTTTATTGACGTTGTTGTCTTATGTATGTATGAAGGTACACTGGGAAAGCTACATATGAATTGCCCCTTGCGGGATAAATAAAGTTGTCTGAATCTGAATCTGAATCTAAATGTCCTCACCACGTGTCCTCACCACATGTTCTCACCATGTGTTCTCACCAGCTGTCCTCACCACCTGTCCTCACTGATCACTGTTACATCATGCTGTGCTGATAAAGTTTAATGAAGAATCACATGATGTGTTTTCAGGTGTTGAAGTATGAGATGTACCTGGACAATCCACTGGCACGTTTCCTGATCAAGAAGGCTCTGACCAATCAGAGGATAGGACACTTCTTCTTCTGGCATCTCAAGTGAGGAGTAGCCGGCGCACAGAGTTTGTGTTGATGTTAATGAGTCATTAATTAGTCTGTGACGTGTTCACACTAACAGGAAGTCTGTTCTCAGGTCAGAGATGCACAACAAGACCGTGTCCCGCCGCTTCGGCCTGCTGCTGGAGGCTTTCTGCAGAGCCTGTGGCATGTACCTGAAACACCTGAACAGACAGGTGAGACCTGAAACACCTGAACAGACAGGTGAGACCTGAAACACCTGAACAGACAGGTGAGACCTGAAACACCTGGACAGACAGGTGAGACCTGAACTATCTGAGCAGACAGGTGATGTCACTGTAAATCTGTTGATTGATGGGAAGCTGCTGCCCCCCAGTCGGTCGAAGTGATACTCCAGCCAATAACAAACCTGTGTGTGTGTGTGTGTGTGTGTGTGTGTGTGTGTATGTGTGTCTGCAGGTGGAGGCCATGGACAAACTGGTGAATCTGACCGACACACTGAAACAAGAGAAGAAGGATGAAACACAGAAAGTAAGAAACATTTAAACTATGTCTGTGATTGGTTGATCGGATGTGTCTGTGCTGTGATTGGTTAATCTGATGTGTCTGTACTGTGATTGGTTGTCAGACTCAGATGAAGTTCCTGGTTGAACACATGTCTCGTCCTGATTACATGGAGGCTCTTCAAGGATTTGTCTCTCCGCTGAACCCTGTTCATCAGCTGGGAAACCTCAGGTACCATTTCAACCCACTGACTGACGGAGCAATTGATCGACAGACGAACCGACGGACTGATCAACCGACTGATTGTTCAACTGACCGACTGATCAACGGACAGACCGACCGACCGATTGATTGACTGATAAACCGACTGACCGACCGAGTGACCGACTGATCAACTGACTGATAGACTGACCAACGACCGATCAACCAACTGACCAACCTACCAACTGATCAACCGACTGACCAACCGACTGACCAACTGATTGACTGACTGACCAACCTACCGACTGATCAACAGACAGACCGAGCGACCGATTGATCGACCGACCAACCGACCGACTGATAAACCGACTGACCAACCGACAGACTGATCGACCAACCGACGGACTGATCAACCAACCGACCGATTGATCGACCAACCGACTGATCAACAGACCAACCGACCGACCAAGTGACCGACTGATCAGCTGACTGATCGACTGACCAACGACCGATCGACCAACTGACCAACCTACTGACTGATCGACCGACCGACCGACCGAGCGACAGATTGATCGACCGACCACAAGCCAACTGATAAACTGACTGACCGATCAAGTGACCGACTGATCGACAGACCAACCGACGGACTGATCAACCAACCGACCGATTGATCAGCAGATAGACCGACCAACCAATTGATCGACCAGCCAACCGACCGACTGATCAACCGACTGACCAACCAAGTGACCGACTGATCAACTGACTGATCGACTGACCAACGACCGACCGAACAACTGACCATCCTACCGACTGATCAACCGACTGACCAACCGTCTGACCGACCGACTGACTGACCAAACAACTATACTAAATTAGAGTGTGTGTGTGTTCAGGCTGGAGGAGTGTCGCATCATGTCGTCGGCAAAGCGCCCCCTGTGGTTGAACTGGGAGAATCCCGACATCATGTCCGAGCTGCTCTTCATCAACAACGAGATCATCTTTAAGAATGGAGATGGTAGCTAGCTCAGTGCTAACAACTACACTGGTTTCGATGCACATTGCTAACTATGTTAACATGAGCGCTGTGCTTGGGGATTGTGGGTAATGTAGTGTGTGACCTGTGTATGTGTGTGTCGCAGACCTGCGTCAGGACATGTTGACACTGCAGATCATCAAAATTATGGAGAACATCTGGCAGAACCAGGGCCTGGACCTGCGGTGAGAACCTGTGACATCATCAGTGACCTCTGTGACATCATCATGCAGCTGTCTAACCTCTGTGTGTGTGTGTGTGTGTGTGTCAGCATGCTGCCTTATGGCTGCCTGTCCATCGGGGACTGTGTGGGTCTGATCGAGGTGGTGAAGAACAGTTTCACCATCATGCAGATTCAGTGTAAAGGAGGCCTGAAGGGGGCGCTGCAGTTCAACTCCAACACCCTGCACCACTGGATCAAAGACAAGAACCGCGGAGAGGGGTCAGTGTCCCACTGTCCAACTGTCTGTCTGTTCAACTGTCTGTCAGTCCAACTGTCTGTCCAAATGTCTGAATACCTGTCAACTTCAACACCCTGCACCACTGGACTAAAGACAAGAACCGCAGAGAGGGGTGAGAGTCAAACAATACAACTGTTCAATTGTCTGTCCAAGTGTCTGTCTGTTTGTCCACTGAAATCAATTCAATTCAATTCAATTTTATATATAAAGCCCAATATCACAAATCACAATTTGCCTCACAGGGCTTTACAGCATACGACATCCCTCTGTCCTTATGACCCTCACAGCTGATCAGGAAAAACTCCCCAAAAAACCCTTTAATGGGGAAAAAAAACGGTAGAAACCTCAGGAAGAGCAACTGAGGAGGGATCCCTCTTCCAGGACGGACAGACGTGCAATAGATGTCGTACAGAACAGATCAGCATAATAAATTAACAGTAATCCATATGACACAATGAGACAGAGAGAGAGAGAGAGAGAGAGAGAGAGAGAGAGAGAGAGAGAGAGATGCAGGTAATGACAGTAGCTTACAACAACATTATTGAAAGTAATAATATTATAGTTATAGTTCTGGCTACTGTGGTACAATATGTTGAAAGTATGTATTAATATCTGGCAGTATACATGTGTGACAATAGTCATATGTGTATAATAACAGTAGAAGTATGACTAATGACTAATGATGGCAGCAGCAGCAGGAGGCATCTGGCAGGACCACGGCAGCAGCACAACCACACACGTCACGCTGTCCAGGCACCGCTGCGATATGAGTTAATCTGAGAGACAGTGGAGCACAAAGGCTCCGGAGAAGAAGCCGAGTTAGTGACATCCAGAATGGCCGAGTTAGCAAGATGCAGTAATAGGATGAGAGTGAGAGAGAGAGAGAGAGAGAGAGAGAGAGAGAGAGAGAGGGAGAGAGAGGGAGCCCGGTGTATTATAGGGGGTCCTCCGGCAGACTAGGCCTAAGTCAGCCTAACTAGGGGCTGGTACAGGGCAAGCCTGAGCCAGCCCTAACTATAAGCTTTATCAAAGAGGAAAGTCTTAAGTCTAGTCTTAAATGTGGAGACGGTGTCTGCCTCCCGGACCGTAACAGGAAGATGATTCCACAGGAGAGGAGCCTGATAGCTGAAGGCTCTGGCTCCTGATCTACTTTTGGAGACTTTAGGGACCACGAGTAACCCTGCGTTCTCAGAGCGCAGTGTTCTGGTGGGATAATATGGCACTATGAGCTCTCTAAGATATGACGGAGCTTGACCATTTAGAGCTTTATAAGTTAACAGTAGGATTTTAAATTCAATTCTGGATTTTACAGGGAGCCAGTGCAGAGAAGCTAAAACAGGAGAAATATGATCTCGTTTCTTAGTTCCTGTTAGTACACGTGCTGCTGCATTCTGAATTAGCTGGAGAGTTTTTAAGGACTTACTAGAGCTACCTGATAATAGAGAGTTACAGTAATCCAGCCTTGAGGTAACAAAAGCGTGGACCAATTTTTCTGCATCTTTTCGGGTCAGGATAGGCCTAATTTTCGCAATATTACGCAGATGAAAAAATGCAGTCCGTGAGGTTTGCTTTAAATGAGAATTAAAAGACAAATCTTGATCAAATATTACTCCGAGGTTTCTTACGGTAGTGCTAGAGGCCAGAGCAATGCCATCTAGAGAAACTATGTCATCAGATAAAGAGTCTCTGAGTTGTTTGGGGCCAAGAACAATAACTTCAGTTTTGTCTGAATTTAACATCAGGAAATTGGTGCTCATCCAATTTTTTATGTCTTTAAGGCAGTTATGGAGTTTAGTTAATTGATTACTTTCTTCTGGCTTCATCGATAAATACAACTGTGTATCATCCGCATAACAATGGAAATTTATAGAGTGATTTCTAATGATGTTACCTAAAGGAAGCATATATAGAGTAAATAGGATTGGTCCGAGCACAGAACCTTGCGGAACTCCAAAACAAACTTTGGTACGTAAGGATGATTCATTACGAACGTCAACAAATTGAAAACGATCAGATAAATAAGATTTAAACCAGCTTAGTGCTGAACCTTTTAGGCCAATTAAGTGATCCAGTCTCTGCAGTAGAATTTGATGGTCAATTGTGTCAAACGCCGCACTAAGATCTAATAAAACAAGAACAGAGACGAGTCCTTTGTCTGAAGCAATCAGAAGGTCATTTGTAATTTTAACTAGAGCTGTCTCAGTGCTATGATGCACTCTAAATCCTGACTGAAATTCCTCAAATAAATTATTATCCTGGAGAAAATCACACAGCTGGTCTGCGACTACTTTCTCAAGGATCTTTGACATAAAGGGAAGATTAGATATTGGTCTATAGTTGGCTAACACCTCTGGATCCAGGGTGGGCTTTTTTAGGAGAGGTTTAATTACAGCTACCTTAAAAGACTGTGGTACATAGCCTGTTAATAGGGATATATTGATCATATCTAATATATGAGTGTTAACTAAAGGAAAGACCTCCTTAAGTAGCCTAGTTGGGATGGGGTCTAAGAGACACGTTGATGATTTAGATGAAGAAATCACTGCGGTCAATTCTTGAAGAGAAATTGGGGAGAAGCAATCTAAATATATATTAGATTCTACAGCTGTGTTTGAGGTTAGATAGGTAGGCCTACCATCTGAGGGCAGGAGGTCATGAATTTTGCCTCTAATAGTTAGAATTTTGTCATTAAAAAAGCTCATAAAATCATTACTGCTAAGGGCTAAAGGAATACAAGGCTCAATAGAGCTTTGACTCTCAGTCAGCCTGGCTACAGTGCTGAAAAGAAACCTGGGGTTGTTCTTGTTTTCTTCTATTAATGCTGAGTAATAGTTTGCTCTGGCATTGCGGAGGCCCCTCTTATAAGTTTTGAGACTGTCTGTCCAGATTAAACGAGATTCTTCCAGTTTGGTTAATCGCCAATTCCTTTCAAATTTTCGCGATATTTGTTTTAACCTACGGGTTTGAGAGTTATACCAAGGAGCAAACTTTCTTTGCTTTGTTAACTTCTTTTTAAGAGGAGCTACAGAGTCGAGCGTTGTTCGCAGCGAGCCTACGGCGCTATCAACAAAATGATCAATTTGGGAGAGGTTAAAGTCGGCACGGGAAACCTCTGTTACTGAAGGTATTGGTATTGAATTTAACGACGAAGTAATCTTTTCCTTAAATTTTGTGACAGCACTATCTGATAAACATCTAGTATAGTAACTGTTGCTGAGTGGCGTGTAATCGAGTAAAAAGAAATCAAAAGTAATCAGATAATGATCTGATAGCAAGGGATTCTGTGGAAAGACTTTTAGGTTATCAATTTCAATTCCATACGTCAGAACTAGATCGAGGGTATGGTTAAAACAGTGAGTGGGTTCATGTACACCCTGACTGAAGCCAATGGAGTCTATTAATGAGATAAACGCGGTAGCCAGGGAGTCATTATCAACGTCGACATGAATGTTAAAATCGCCTACAATAATAACTTTATCTGATTTAAGAACTAAACTGGATAAAAACTCTGAGAATTCAGATACAAATTCAGAATACGGGCCAGGAGCACGGTACACTATAACAAATAAAAGTGGCTGCGAGGTTTTCCAGGTCGGATGTAAAACACTAAGAACGAGGCTTTCAAATGAATTATAATCTAGTTTAGGTTTAGGGCTGATTAACAGACTAGAGTTAAAAATGGCTGCAACTCCCCCTCCTCGGCCGCTGCCTCGAGGAATGTGGGTATTATTATGACTGGGAGGAGTGGACTCATTTAGACTAACATATTCATCTTGACACAGCCAGGTTTCAGTGAGACTGAGTAAATCAATATGATTATCTGACATATTGCGGTAAACGTGTTGTGTCATTTTATCAGTCTATGAACAGATCTGATTACAATAAGACAAACTGGACGTATGGATTCAGTGATCGAGTTTTTAAAAGGCTTCGTGTGGGGAACATCTAAACATGTATGACGTATGAATTTGGTGCAGGTGTACAAAGTTTGTTGAGGTAGTGCTGTCAGTCAGAGACAGAATCAGGTTTATCACCAGGAGGACTGAACCTACAACAGATTTGTTTTGGTGTGTCAGAACCAGTGTTGATGTTGGCAGCTGTTTCAGATTCTGTCTTCACATGAAAATGCTCGTTAGATTCACAGTTTCAGTCGACGACAGCTGTCTGAACTTTCAGGTGTCCAGGGGACAGGTGGCATCAGACGGGGATCTTTGATTCTACTCTGCACTCTTAGAAACATTTCTCCGTCCGTCCAATCCTCCTCCTGTCTTATTTTAGATGTCCAACAGTCCTCAGCTGACTAACACACACGTCATCAGTTTTTATCATCAAGATCTGTTTTCAGCTCGTCATCGTCTCGTCTTCGTTCTGGAAGTAAACGCTGTTGACGTATTTTTTTTAATCAGAGTTTTCTTCAATGAAATGAACACTGATGGGTGTGATAAACAACAATAAATGATAAACAGTGATAAATAACGATAAATGATAAACAACGATAAAGGTAAAGGTAAAAATCCAGAACGTGAAGACAGAACAGAATAAAGTGACGATAGAAATGTTAGCAAATAAACTCCATACCGTCTGAATGGAAACACCGTGGCTGTGACGGCTCTTTTATTTTCCATCCCTACATGTCTGTCCTCGCCGCCCCCACAGGAAGCAGTTTAACCACTGATCTCACCTGACTTCCTGTGTGTGTCTCAGGTACGACCGGGCCATCGACCTCTTCACCAGGTCGTGTGCAGGTTATTGTGTGGCAACATTCATCCTGGGAATCGGAGATAGACACAACTCCAACATCATGGTGAAGGAGAACGGACAGGTGAGCTGGCGGTCGTCCACACATCCTGGAAGTGTCCAAACTCCAAACCCCCTAACTCTTCCTCCTCCTCTTCCTCCTCCAGCTGTTCCACATCGACTTCGGCCACTTCCTGGACCACAAGAAGAAGAAGTTTGGGTACAAGAGGGAGCGAGTGCCGTTCGTTCTCACTCAGGACTTCCTCATCGTAATCAGTAAAGGAGTCCAGGAGTCCACCAAGACCAAAGAGTTTGAGAGGTCTCACCTGCACCTCACCTGTCTCAGTGCTGGTCCTCCTGTCTCCACCTGTGCCCATCTCACTGTCTGTTTACCCATCTGTGTGTCAGGTTCCAGGAGATGTGTTATAAAGCCTACCTGGCCATCCGGCAGCACGCCAGCCTCTTCATCAACCTCTTCTCCCTCCTGCTGGGCTGCGGCATGCCCGAACTGCAGAGCTTTGATGACATCGCCTACCTGAGGAAGACCCTGGCACTGGGTAAGACACATGGCCGGAGACAGGTGGAGACAGAGACAGGCAGGTGGAGACAGAGGCAGAGATTGACACCCTGACAGTGCGGCGCTCTGGATAACCAAACGGTACATTCAGACACTCAGAATGAGTGTTTCTGAACGCACCACTCACATCATCTTCCTCCATTGTCTAAAACTTGATAACCGTTAATGTTAGCTAGCACTAGCTAATGTCTGTGGAGAACTGTTTTGCCTCAGCTAAGCCCCGCCCACCAAAAAACGTCACATTGTTTACTGACCTGGTGTCAGCCCTGATAAATGAAGAATGAAACTTGATACGGTGTCTGATAGGGACCAAAAACAGTTAATACACCTTTAAAAAAAACATCTTACTTGTTAATGAACTCCACCCCGTCCTGTCGTGACACAGAGTCAGTGGGGGACGGAGCTTCTCCAAACACAGAACTCATCACGTCAGACTTCGTCTTCAGAGTCCTCCAAGTGTGTGAGACACTAAGTTCATGTCTTCATCTGTTTTCATATCAACTATTGATGTCATTTCAGATCTTCCTCCTCACCTGCTTCTTCCTCCTCACCTGCCTCATCCTCCTCACCTGCCTCTTCCTCCTCACCTGTCCTTCCTCCTCACCTGTCTCTTCCTCCTCACCTGCCTCATTCCCTCACCTACCTCATCCTCCTCACCTGTCTCTTCCTCCTCACCTGCCTCTTCCTCCTCACCTGTCCTTCCTCCTCACCTGTCTCTTCCTCCTCACCTGCCTCTTCCTCCTCACCTGCCTCATTCCCTCACCTACCTCATCCTCCTCACCTGTCTCTTCCTCCTCACCTGCCTCATTCCCTCACCTACCTCATCCTCCTCACCTGTCCTTCCTCCTCACCTGCCTCATCCTCCTCACCTGTCTCTTCCTCCTCACCTGCCTCATCCTCCTCACCTATTTCTTCCTCCTCATCTGCTTCATCCTCCTCACCTGCTTCATCCTCCTCACCTGCTTCTTCCTCCTCATCTGCTTCATCCTCCTCACCTGCTTCTTCCTCCTCATCTGCCTCATCCTCCTCACCTGCTTCTTCCTCCTCATCTGCTTCATCCTCCTCACCTGCTTCTTCTTCCTCACCTGCCTCTTCCTCTTCACCTACCTCATACCTCACCTGTCTCTTCCTCCTCACCTGCTCCCTCCTCATCTGCCTCATCCTCCTCACCTGCTTCTTTCTCCTCACCTGCCTCATCCTCCTCACCTGCTCCTTCTTCCTCACCTGCCTCATTCCCTCACCTGCCTCATCCTCCTCACCTGCCTCATCCTCCTCATCTGCTTCTTCTTCCTCACCTGCCTCATTCCCTCACCTGCCTCATCCTCCTCACCTGCCTCATCCTCCTCACCTGCCTCGTCCTCCTCACCTGCCTCATACCCTCACCTGCTCCTTCTTCCTCACCTGCCTCATCCTCCTCACCTGCCTCTTCCTCCTCACCTGTCCTTCCTCCTCCCCTGCCTCATCCTCCTCACCTATTTCTTCCTCCTCATCTGCTTCATCCTCCTCACCTGCTTCATCCTCCTCACCTGCTTCTTCCTCCTCATCTGCCTCATCCTCCTCACCTGCTTCTTCCTCCTCATCTGCTTCATCCTCCTCACCTGCTTCTTCTTCCTCACCTGCCTCTTCCTCTTCACCTACCTCATACCTCACCTACCTCATCCTCCTCACCTGCGCCTTCCTCATCTGCCTCATCCTCCTCACCTGCTTCTTTCTCCTCACCTGCCTCATCCTCCTCACCTGCTCCTTCTTCCTCACCTGCCTCATTCCCTCACCTGCCTCATCCTCCTCACCTGCCTCATCCTCCTCATCTGCTTCTTCTTCCTCACCTGCCTCATTCCCTCACCTGCCTCATCCTCCTCACCTGCCTCATCCTCCTCACCTGCCTCGTCCTCCTCACCTGCCTCATACCCTCACCTGCTCCTTCTTCCTCACCTGCCTCATCCTCCTCACCTGCCTCTTCCTCCTCACCTGTCCTTCCTCCTCCCCTGCCTCATCCTCCTCACCTATTTCTTCCTCCTCATCTGCTTCATCCTCCTCACCTGCTTCATCCTCCTCACCTGCTTCTTCCTCCTCATCTGCCTCATCCTCCTCACCTGCTTCTTCCTCCTCATCTGCTTCATCCTCCTCACCTGCTTCTTCTTCCTCACCTGCCTCTTCCTCTTCACCTACCTCATACCTCACCTACCTCATCCTCCTCACCTGCGCCTTCCTCATCTGCCTCATCCTCCTCACCTGCTTCTTTCTCCTCACCTGCCTCATCCTCCTCACCTGCTCCTTCTTCCTCACCTGCCTCATTCCCTCACCTGCCTCATCCTCCTCACCTGCCTCATCCTCCTCATCTGCTTCTTCTTCCTCACCTGCCTCATTCCCTCACCTGCCTCATCCTCCTCACCTGCCTCATCCTCCTCACCTGCCTCGTCCTCCTCACCTGCCTCATACCCTCACCTGCTCCTTCTTCCTCACCTGCCTCATCCTCCTCACCTGCCTCTTCCTCCTCACCTGTCCTTCCTCCTCCCCTGCCTCATCCTCCTCACCTATTTCTTCCTCCTCATCTGCTTCATCCTCCTCACCTGCTTCATCCTCCTCACCTGCTTCTTCCTCCTCATCTGCCTCATCCTCCTCACCTGCTTCTTCCTCCTCATCTGCTTCATCCTCCTCACCTGCTTCTTCTTCCTCACCTGCCTCTTCCTCTTCACCTACCTCATACCTCACCTACCTCATCCTCCTCACCTGCGCCTTCCTCATCTGCCTCATCCTCCTCACCTGCTTCTTTCTCCTCACCTGCCTCATCCTCCTCACCTGCTCCTTCTTCCTCACCTGCCTCATTCCCTCACCTGCCTCATCCTCCTCACCTGCCTCATCCTCCTCATCTGCTTCTTCTTCCTCACCTGCCTCATTCCCTCACCTGCCTCATCCTCCTCACCTGCCTCATCCTCCTCACCTGCCTCGTCCTCCTCACCTGCCTCATACCCTCACCTGCTCCTTCTTCCTCACCTGCCTCATCCTCCTCACCTGCCTCTTCCTCCTCACCTGTCCTTCCTCCTCCCCTGCCTCATCCTCCTCACCTATTTCTTCCTCCTCATCTGCTTCATCCTCCTCACCTGCTTCATCCTCCTCACCTGCTTCTTCCTCCTCATCTGCCTCATCCTCCTCACCTGCTTCTTCCTCCTCATCTGCTTCATCCTCCTCACCTGCTTCTTCTTCCTCACCTGCCTCTTCCTCTTCACCTACCTCATACCTCACCTACCTCATCCTCCTCACCTGCGCCTTCCTCATCTGCCTCATCCTCCTCACCTGCTTCTTTCTCCTCACCTGCCTCATCCTCCTCACCTGCTCCTTCTTCCTCACCTGCCTCATTCCCTCACCTGCCTCATCCTCCTCACCTGCCTCATCCTCCTCATCTGCTTCTTCTTCCTCACCTGCCTCATTCCCTCACCTGCCTCATCCTCCTCACCTGCCTCATCCTCCTCACCTGCCTCGTCCTCCTCACCTGCCTCATACCCTCACCTGCTCCTTCTTCCTCACCTGCCTCATCCTCCTCACCTGCCTCTTCCTCCTCACCTGTCCTTCCTCCTCCCCTGCCTCATCCTCCTCACCTATTTCTTCCTCCTCATCTGCTTCATCCTCCTCACCTGCTTCATCCTCCTCACCTGCTTCTTCCTCCTCATCTGCCTCATCCTCCTCACCTGCTTCTTCCTCCTCATCTGCTTCATCCTCCTCACCTGCTTCTTCTTCCTCACCTGCCTCTTCCTCTTCACCTACCTCATACCTCACCTACCTCATCCTCCTCACCTGCGCCTTCCTCATCTGCCTCATCCTCCTCACCTGCTTCTTTCTCCTCACCTGCCTCATCCTCCTCACCTGCTCCTTCTTCCTCACCTGCCTCATTCCCTCACCTGCCTCATCCTCCTCACCTGCCTCATCCTCCTCATCTGCTTCTTCTTCCTCACCTGCCTCATTCCCTCACCTGCCTCATCCTCCTCACCTGCCTCATCCTCCTCACCTGCCTCGTCCTCCTCACCTGCCTCATACCCTCACCTGCTCCTTCTTCCTCACCTGCCTCATCCTCCTCACCTGCCTCTTCCTCCTCACCTGTCCTTCCTCCTCCCCTGCCTCATCCTCCTCACCTATTTCTTCCTCCTCATCTGCTTCATCCTCCTCACCTGCTTCATCCTCCTCACCTGCTTCTTCCTCCTCATCTGCCTCATCCTCCTCACCTGCTTCTTCCTCCTCATCTGCTTCATCCTCCTCACCTGCTTCTTCTTCCTCACCTGCCTCTTCCTCTTCACCTACCTCATACCTCACCTACCTCATCCTCCTCACCTGCGCCTTCCTCATCTGCCTCATCCTCCTCACCTGCTTCTTTCTCCTCACCTGCCTCATCCTCCTCACCTGCTCCTTCTTCCTCACCTGCCTCATTCCCTCACCTGCCTCATCCTCCTCACCTGCCTCATCCTCCTCATCTGCTTCTTCTTCCTCACCTGCCTCATTCCCTCACCTGCCTCATCCTCCTCACCTGCCTCATCCTCCTCACCTGCCTCGTCCTCCTCACCTGCCTCATACCCTCACCTGCTCCTTCTTCCTCACCTGCCTCATCCTCCTCACCTGCCTCTTCCTCCTCACCTGTCCTTCCTCCTCCCCTGCCTCATCCTCCTCACCTATTTCTTCCTCCTCATCTGCTTCATCCTCCTCACCTGCTTCATCCTCCTCACCTGCTTCTTCCTCCTCATCTGCCTCATCCTCCTCACCTGCTTCTTCCTCCTCATCTGCTTCATCCTCCTCACCTGCTTCTTCTTCCTCACCTGCCTCTTCCTCTTCACCTACCTCATACCTCACCTACCTCATCCTCCTCACCTGCGCCTTCCTCATCTGCCTCATCCTCCTCACCTGCTTCTTTCTCCTCACCTGCCTCATCCTCCTCACCTGCTCCTTCTTCCTCACCTGCCTCATTCCCTCACCTGCCTCATCCTCCTCACCTGC